ATCGACGACTCGTAAATTTTCGAACTGCTGACCGTTTTCTGTCCGCCCGATCGAGACTTCTCTTTCCTGGGACTCCTCGCTCTCGAAGATTTCGATACAGTCTTGTAAAACGTTTCATCCGACTGAGTGCCTGAATCGGTGCACCTCTTTTCCAATTTCTCGACCTTCTTCACTCGTCTCTCATCGCTTTCGTCTTCGTACACGCGAATAGGTTCGTTCTTCGTCTTCCTGGGGCTCTTGCGCGAATTCACGACGGACTTCACGTACTTACCATCGATTTCCAGGCTCGTGTCCCTCTTTGAAGATTTTTCGTCGATGGTCAAAGAATCATCGGAAAAATCTTTCGATCCGTCGTCGATTATTTCTTGTATCTTCACGGTGCTCTCGTCGCTCACCGACGACGGAACAGGTGATTGCACCAACAGGCTCAGTTTATCGATACTACCGTCCGACTCGCCCTTGTATATCGTGATCTCCCCTTTACCCTGTATCCCATTCTCGTCGACGATCAATGTTGCGCCGTCCTTATCGAAAGAATTGTGAATCATCGCACTGACTAACACTAAGACCTGCGTGTTCGAGCATAGAACACCGTCGTTGAGGAAGCCGTCCTGATCGTCGCTTCCCCTTCGATCGGCGAGCTCGTCTGCGAGGGGCGGAGCCTCTACCAAACTCTCAATAGAATCTGTCGATTGCTGTTTGTCTAATCGCGAATGTTTCTGTTTGTCCTGAACCTCGTCCTCGGCTGTGCCGTCCAAGCCGTACCCAGTGAGTCTGTAGTCCTCCTTGTCCACCTTAAAGTCGGATAAGGCGCATTCGTGGCGTCCACCGTGATCCATAGCCGATATCGTCGAGGACGAAACAGCCGAGGACGAGATCGATCTGTCGCGATCTTTGCTACTCCTTAATCCTACTTCGGCGATGTCATGCTCGACGCGAACTATATCTGTATCGTCCGACGCAGCTACGCTGCCTTTAACTTTGACTACCGGTCTCACGCTAGGTTTAACGAGATTCTCGCGTTTCGACGAGGTGGCGACGGTTGGGGACACCTCCTCCAGCTGACTCGACCGGGGCTCTACCCTGACCATCTTCCTGACTCTCTTATCATCGTCAGCGAAACCTACCTCGTCGAGGATCTGCGACTCGCCGGTTTCGGTGGCGATGATCTGTTTCGCGAGACCTGGATACGCGGCCTTCGCGGTCGTTACGTGTTTGGCGTTACCGTTCTCGGTGACTAGCGCGCTAATGAATTTCTCGCGCGCCTCCTCGAGACCGCCGGCGACGCCGGCGTGACGGGAGGAGACGCAGGCGACGTTCGTCGCGTTCTGGATATTCTTACGCAGAACGGCGTCAGGAACGTCGATGGATATTATTTCGATCGGACTCGGGGATTCCATGGTAACGTCGGTAGGCGACGGCGTGAGAAACGTGTTTTGATACTTAGGATCAATGGTCAAGTAATTGTTCGCGTTCGGCGAGGTCAGTTCCAACTTACTTCAGTGTCCAAGTAGATTGGCAGCGTGAAAAACAAGACACTATTTTTTACATGATCTTCGTTAGATTCGTGTTCGGTAGCAGTCCGATTCAAAGGCAAAGATGTTTCATCGATCTCTTTATTGAACGTATGATTTTTAAGGAATTAAAACATACTGATTTCTCGAAAGATGTTTCTACTTTAATGGAACATTCCTTCGCCCGTGAATCGGTAGTCTTACTGCATTTACCAAATTAAATATGACTATCCAAAAACGTAACAGAAGGTGTGTAAAATATACGATTATTAAAATTTATTCGTAATTACAGAAAATAAGTTGTAGAAATTCGACTTTAAAAATGGAAGACTCTTCATAGACTAAATTAATATATTGTATTATTTATACAAAACTTGTTAACCCTTTTAACACTCAATAAAGACAAATGCTTCACAAATATTATCCATATGTAAAAGTATGATAACAACATAATCTTTGTTTATACAGAGTGATTATATATGTACATATGTATAACANATATAATATCTTGTAACTCTTTTTGTTTGTAACTAATGTGAGCGATTTTTTTCGTTGAGTTTAATTCCTTCATTACAGTGCGGTTTCTTTCTCGCTGATTATCTTGATTCCATGCTTGGTCAAGATCATCTTCACCGTCTCGTTGTCCCTGACCTTCGGGTTTTCGATCCAATTCACGCCCTCCTGTATCTCGTCCTCCCTACCTAAACTCTCCGTCAGCGAATCCAAATTATCCGCGGAGTCCATGTATCGAACGTTGTCCGCCGACCTCTGCAACGATTTGCATCTCCTAGAACTCCTGGAAACCCGTATGTTATCCGCGGACCCAATCAACTTGTTGTTTTTCGGCCTGAGAACTTTCTCGTTACTCTTGGAAGACGGTTTCGCTAATTGGAGATTATCCACGGAGGAGTAGCGTCGTTTATCCTGAGAAACGTTCACAGGATCTTCGATCGGTTTCTTTTTTAACAAAGATCCCTTCCGATTCATGCGTCTTGTGCCACTGGCCAGGATGGCCACTTCGTCCTTAGGAATAAAATATTTACTATTATCCCACGTTTTCTTGGAAATTTTCGAATCGGAGATAGTGAAAGACTTCGATATTTGCTCCTCTCTGTCAGGCTCGCTCAGCTTTCGGTCGTCCATCGATTCAGAGAGACACTGAAAACCGCAGTTCTCAATTTCGAAGCTGTCTTCGTCCAAAGACGGATCGGTTATCGCGCTGTCACCGAACCTGGAGCTATCCTTGGGAAGACACATCGAGGAAAGGTCGAGTACATGGCTCATGTCCACGGGTTCTCTGGAGAACGACTCTTGATCGGGATACGTGGAGCACATCTTGCTGCAGATCTCGCAGACCTCGTACATCTGATCGCAATCCGCCGACGAACAGACCAAGTTCGGATCTATCCCGGCTGTCGATTCTTGCAAGTTCCAAGAGCTGCATATGTCGCATTCCGTCGAGTCCTCGTCGGCAATCGAACTGCAGTTCGAACGCAAAGTGTAGAAATTGTCGTGGACCGGACTGCCGATTATCTCCTCCGTAGCTAAGGACATCTCGTTCCCGTAGCAACAGACGGAACAGAATTCATCGGTTTGCATGTCCAGCTCGTTAGTCGTAATTAACTGAGAGGTGCTGTCAGCTTTCGAAGGATCTTCGTAGCAGACCTCCTGCATCTTCTTGAACGACTCGTAACTCTTCGATTTCTTCGAGAACATCTCCTCGCCCTTGGCTCGTCTTCTAGAAGCCGTCCTCGAATCGTTCGTCGTGATCACCGAATCCAAACTGCCCTTCAGTGGTTCGTCGTGCCGCTTCGCTTTCTTCATTCTCTCGTCGCCGACGATCGACGACTCGTAAATTTTCGAACTGCTGACCGTTTTCTGTCCGCCCGATCGAGACTTCTCTTTCCTGGGACTCCTCGCTCTCGAAGATTTCGATACAGTCTTGTAAAACGTTTCATCCGACTGAGTGCCTGAATCGGTGCACCTCTTTTCCAATTTCTCGACCTTCTTCACTCGTCTCTCATCGCTTTCGTCTTCGTACACGCGAATAGGTTCGTTCTTCGTCTTCCTGGGGCTCTTGCGCGAATTCACGACGGACTTCACGTACTTACCATCGATTTCCAGGCTCGTGTCCCTCTTTGAAGATTTTTCGTCGATGGTCAAAGAATCATCGGAAAAATCTTTCGATCCGTCGTCGATTATTTCTTGTATCTTCACGGTGCTCTCGTCGCTCACCGACGACGGAACAGGTGATTGCACCAACAGGCTCAGTTTATCGATACTACCGTCCGACTCGCCCTTGTATATCGTGATCTCCCCTTTACCCTGTATCCCATTCTCGTCGACGATCAATGTTGCGCCGTCCTTATCGAAAGAATTGTGAATCATCGCACTGACTAACACTAAGACCTGCGTGTTCGAGCATAGAACACCGTCGTTGAGGAAGCCGTCCTGATCGTCGCTTCCCCTTCGATCGGCGAGCTCGTCTGCGAGGGGCGGAGCCTCTACCAAACTCTCAATAGAATCTGTCGATTGCTGTTTGTCTAATCGCGAATGTTTCTGTTTGTCCTGAACCTCGTCCTCGGCTGTGCCGTCCAAGCCGTACCCAGTGAGTCTGTAGTCCTCCTTGTCCACCTTAAAGTCGGATAAGGCGCATTCGTGGCGTCCACCGTGATCCATAGCCGATATCGTCGAGGACGAAACAGCCGAGGACGAGATCGATCTGTCGCGATCTTTGCTACTCCTTAATCCTACTTCGGCGATGTCATGCTCGACGCGAACTATATCTGTATCGTCCGACGCAGCTACGCTGCCTTTAACTTTGACTACCGGTCTCACGCTAGGTTTAACGAGATTCTCGCGTTTCGACGAGGTGGCGACGGTTGGGGACACCTCCTCCAGCTGACTCGACCGGGGCTCTACCCTGACCATCTTCCTGACTCTCTTATCATCGTCAGCGAAACCTACCTCGTCGAGGATCTGCGACTCGCCGGTTTCGGTGGCGATGATCTGTTTCGCGAGACCTGGATACGCGGCCTTCGCGGTCGTTACGTGTTTGGCGTTACCGTTCTCGGTGACTAGCGCGCTAATGAATTTCTCGCGCGCCTCCTCGAGACCGCCGGCGACGCCGGCGTGACGGGAGGAGACGCAGGCGACGTTCGTCGCGTTCTGGATATTCTTACGCAGAACGGCGTCAGGAACGTCGATGGATATTATTTCGATCGGACTCGGGGATTCCATGGTAACGTCGGTAGGCGACGGCGTGAGAAACGTGTTTTGATACTTAGGATCAATGGTCAAGTAATTGTTCGCGTTCGGCGAGGTCAGTTCCAACTTACTTCAGTGTCCAAGTAGATTGGCAGCGTGAAAAACAAGACACTATTTTTTACATGATCTTCGTTAGATTCGTGTTCGGTAGCAGTCCGATTCAAAGGCAAAGATGTTTCATCGATCTCTTTATTGAACGTATGATTTTTAAGGAATTAAAACATACTGATTTCTCGAAAGATGTTTCTACTTTAATGGAACATTCCTTCGCCCGTGAATCGGTAGTCTTACTGCATTTACCAAATTAAATATGACTATCCAAAAACGTAACAGAAGGTGTGTAAAATATACGATTATTAAAATTTATTCGTAATTACAGAAAATAAGTTGTAGAAATTCGACTTTAAAAATGGAAGACTCTTCATAGACTAAATTAATATATTGTATTATTTATACAAAACTTGTTAACCCTTTTAACACTCAATAAAGACAAATGCTTCACAAATATTATCCATATGTAAAAGTATGATAACAACATAATCTTTGTTTATACAGACTGATTATATATGTACATATGTATAACATTATTAAATATTCTTAAAAATAGAACAGAGTATTAACAATTATTTTTTAATTAACTTTTCACGCCATTTAAACTGTAAAAACATTTATGCAATGTGTATTGCATTTATATAACGAATGTTGAATATTTTTAGTCCTCTTTAGAGTTTATCTTATAGATTATCGGCAATTAAACATAAATAACGCGTCGATATTATTGAGAATTAAAAGGGATAATTGTTGATCAGAAAATATACAGATACTTTATACAAAGACTTTACAATATCTTATTAGATTAACCAATTCTGTATGTTCTGACTCACCAACTATGTGGAATATGAATGCTATAAAAATATATACTTCTCATACAAAATACATAAAAATAAATTCTTGTTTACACCTATACTGAAGCATACCCTATTAAGTCTCGCCGCTTATTTATGTAAATTATCGTTACAAATGAATTACGTTTAGACTCACATTGATGATGCTGTTGATTTCGCGTCATAAATCCCGTGTTTATAGACATAATCGATCACAGCATCTGGTAAAAGATACCTGACACTCTCACCTCGTTTTAATGCCCTCCTTATCCTAGTTGAGCTGACTTCGTTCGGTATCCACTCGGTCACTATGTATATATTGTGCTGCAGAGAAATAGATCACGACAAAAGTTAAACAAATGCAAAAATCATACACGACGAGCATAAGCGTAGTTAAATATCTAGTTACCATGTGTTTCGATAAAATATCTGAATCATATATAAACTTATTCGGATTAGAACCTTCTCTTGTAATAACCACGAGACCATGTTCTCCAACAATGGAATCAATCTGCAAATTGAAAGGTATAATGTATATTTTTTTTATTAAATCAATGTAAATCCATTAAATTACTTAGCATATTAGCTTACATCTTCTTCAGCCCAGAGATTGTAAACTCCGAAACTCTCTAGTAAATCAGCACCACATAACAGTTTAATTTGTATCGGTGTACGATCTGTACTGTTTTTCACATTTTCTGGAATCCATTCAAGATCTTCCGGTGGTACGTTGAGTTTAACATTATTCGAATCAAAGAGCAATGAGTTCAATAAGTTCTGGTGATGCTGCAAACATATCCTGGTCTTTGTCCAACCATTCTGTCTGGTTTCCCAAGCGCTTAGTTGAATCCAATCACTGTTTTGCAAGGCCAGCCTTAACATAGCACACCTGTGTGTCGCACTAGCCAGTTCTTTCTTAGCATAAGCATCGTGTACAGGAGACATTATCCCACCAACTACAATATGCGTTCCCATCCTGTGAAGATGGTCCCTGGCAATTTCTGTAAATAAAAGATTATGTACAATCGAACACAATAAGTCTGACTTAGAAGCAGTATTAAAATTGAATTTCATAGAAGAGAATTCGATGATTGTATAGAAGTCTAATCCGAGTTCGTAACAAGCAACTGTATTGTTTACATTTCTTATGTTAACAATGCTACAGTTCATTCAGACAACGAAGTATGACATTTTTATAAAATAAATCTAAGATGCATATAACCAAGCTTTTCGTAAAGACTCGATATTGATTGTAAGCAATGATATATATGTACCAAACATTCTTAAATGCATGTTCGTCGGAGGGTTATAACTGCCACAGGACATAAGAATAACACGCGTTGGTGCCATTTTTTGGTCGTCTGTCCCGCAGCATGTGATGACAACAGTCTTACTGTGCTGAGTGAACCCTCTTCTTGTCGTTATCTGCTGGCGGAACGCGAAACATTTAGGTTGATACGTAATAATGCGAGATAGATCGTTACGCAGACCACCGTAACGGGCGACCACACCGCACGAACTGCACACTGGCTGACGTATCAGCCATATTTGAGACGGTCGCACGACGGGAGTCAACTGAGAAATTTTTCTGAGCATAATCTCAACGAGTAATATCTTCTACGCTCATTAAGATCTACATTATCATGTATCTTTATCATTTTTTTTGTAGATACCGACGACTACACTAGTCAATCAGCTAATTTATAAATGCTAGTCAGTTGTTAATTTGATGCAAGTCTGGTATCGCCATTTCGGTTTTAAAAAGTTCTGTCAGTTAGGATCCACTGTATTGACTTAACACAAAATTCATCTATATCGGTAGTATTTGACTCGTGGAAACGTCTATTGTTTCGTGCGAAAGGGAAATGATAAAAGATGAACTCTAACTCACTTACTGAATCTGAATCGGTGGAACTGTGTGGACATTTGTAGTGAGTAAAATTAACGGCTATTTTGGATGACATTTGCATGCTATTTGTATCATTTTTGACGAATGTAAGATAAGATAGCATCCCTTTTTATTCAAATATGTGAAGGGCAAGAAATACTTTTTCTTAACTTTCTTCCAAACGTAAACCCTGAATTAGAAATTTTTTGTGCAAGTCCAATCATTCACATTCGTTACAAATCTCCCAGGTAATACGCACGCTTATCATCGTTTATTTCAAATTCTAGCACGGACGTATCTTCAGGATGAGTCAGCAGTGTCGACGGTATTAGCTTGCGGAAAGGTATTCTTGATTATTCTGCGATAGGTGAGTCGTAAATTTTCCACGCCGCGGGTTTATATCTCGAGAAAGTTGACTACGAGATTGAATTATGAAATTACAAAATATTTTCTCGATACCATCTAATGACGTGATATTAATCTCCGCAACAGTAGAATTTCCTACAGTTTAAATTAATAATTATTTATTTCCTTAACGACAAACCAAGGAAAATAATTCAATAATCTTTATGCATAAATATAATTTGAAACATTTATTATTCGTGAAACGAAGAATCGAAAAATGTTTTTAACAGTGCATACAATTGAAGCTGTTTCATTGACTGCACGTACTATTTCGAGGAGACAATTTTAAGCGAGATGCTCTTTATTCAGATTTCCTCATTTGATTAGAATTTGCCACTATTTATTTTAAATAGTGTCAGTACATTTATTTTTATAATGTTTGGTGTTATTAGTGAGTACTTTAATTGTAATTGAAGAATGCCACATTTATAAAATACAAGAGAGAAGAGTTTAAGGTAAGTGAAACTGAAGAATGTTATACATATATTATATAGTTACTTTATAATTTCCTGTGTGCGTTTTATTTTAATTCATATGAGAGTTCAAGAAGTATTTGAGAAATTGTATATACATGGACCAAGGAATTTTCTTCTTGATTCTTCCTTTGATGGACGCAACTCCTTTTTATTTCTATCTTTAAGCGTTTCTCTTGTATGAAACGGTACTATTGACATTTACGAGATCACAGAAGTCTGAACGCTCGCGTCCCGAAATATAACCAGTTTAATAATTCCAACTATCCTTGGCCCGAGATCGAATCCATCCCTGCTGATCGTCGTTTTGTTTACATACCTTCGGTCAAGTAGACTCATCTCAAACAGAGCGATGATATCGACTATTCTATATTTGCCATTACAATGTGAAGTATTAAAAAATGCAACAACGTGTTGATTAAGATCTATTCTTACTTCAAATACCAAAGCTTAATCTCCAGCTATTCAGTCGCTTCAGTAGAAGTTTTTTAACTAGGACAAAGAATTCTATTTTGCAGCGGGAAAAATTCTATGTAGACATCCACCACTGCTGTTTCTATTTTTTTTTAAATGTCCCGTAACTTTTACATCATACACGAGTTGAAAGTTGCACCGGATAGTAGAGGGTCAAGTGATAAAATGAAAAAGGCGTATTTTTACGTGACTGATACGAAATGTGTTAAGTAGCGCGTGCTCGTGATGCATGCTTTCGCAGAACTCGGTCGCCCGGAGGCCGAAGCTCGAAGGGCTCCGGGCTCCGCTGCGGCTTGTTGGCTGTATTTCGCTTCGAGGGGCCGATTGCGCTCGCTGGTCGTAATTAGTGGGGTGCGTAGCAACGCGAGCTTCACCGTCGTTACGTCACGAGCCCCGGCAGAGGTGGACGACAGGCATCCTTTGTGCGGAGGCACACACGCTTCTCTCGAGCCAGCTAGGTCTAATGACGTCACGCGCGTTCGTTCTCCCCGGGTCTTCCATCCCGTCGATCCAATTCGGTGACGAACTTACCCCCTGACGTTCCCAGATCTTGTTACACTCGTCGAGTACTCGCGGACGGGAGTATTTTTGCCGTCGGAACAGGCGGATGCGCATGTTTCCTCCGGATTGAACTCGGGGATGAGCACTTGGTTTTTGTCCGGTACCTCTCGTCTCGCGTTTCTACTATTCTGGGATTGCAAGCGCACTTTCTTTAGGGAAGAGGAACTCGCAGGAGATGAACTCCGCTGAATTAGCGCCCGCTTCGGTTTCCAGCCGAATTGAGATTCTCGCGCAGACTTAGCGTCACGTGTTAGATAATAATACGTTTGAACAATGATATCAACATGATTTGAAGAAATTTTAAAGGCAGTATTTGAAATCATTTTGTAGCTAAATGAATATTTGATAATTTCGCATTTCCATTATGGGTATTATACTTACTTCAACGATATGTATGCGTAAATATCCATCGTTCGATATGCTGAACTGGTTGCACGCACTTTTGCGCATTATTTATCAGGGGATTTGCGAATATACGAAGCGCGATGCATAATTATTGTACATTAAATGCGTGCCATGATCAAACAGTTGAATATTTTAGTACTTCGAGGCATTTCCATTCTAAAGCGGAGCTGTGTACACTTAAGCTCATGCTCACGCAACCGGTCCCGGACTAATTCAATAATCTGGCATATTGGCAGGATAACGGGTCCGTGTGCGTACGCGTTATCATATCGGCGTCGCGACTCGATCGCGGCTCATAATAAATTAAAACCCTCGGCCCTAGGAAAGAACGGGCGATGGTACCGTAATTTTTGCTCACGAGTTAGAAATCAATACTCTGATACGGTTATAAATCCAGGAGATGGCGACAGAACGCGCGTATCGCGTTTGATCTTTCGCGCTCAGAACAGAGAAAGGCAGGCGAAATCGCACGGAGGAACAAATAAAAACGCGAGATCGACACGTGCGCGCCGAAAGATAACTTATCTTCGAAGCCGTAAAAATAACCAGGACCGTAACGCGACGCGGATTTCAATTTTGCCACGGCTGGCCTCGCGGTATGCATTGCCGTTTCGAATTCCAAAGAGAAGAACACATTCGCGATCGCGTAAAAACAGATAGCGCGGATCATATTGAATCTCGCTCGAGATCTAGGCTTGGGCACTACAGAGGAATGAGAAACTGTTGTAGCATTTTCTTTCTCCACGTTGATTCGGAGCGAGTGTGTAAAGGGGAAGTAAAAAGGACTCACGGATCATAATAATACACAAATTTTATTTTATTCATTTTTTTCTTCCCGCAGAATCGAGGAAATCATTTCTTGAGAGAACAAAACCTCTGCAATATGAATAGCAGTTACAAGTAAATATTTACAATAATATAAGTGGTTGCCTTTCTTTTTTTTTTGTGATTTTTGCTTCATCATCTGTTTCCTGTTTTCTCTGTTTTCTGGTTTATTACTCCTACTTTCGCACTGTTAATGATAATCGATAATGATAATCAATTAATTAATTAAGAATAATAATGATAATTATAAGAATCGTACTGAATCATCATACATCCACCCGGTAAATGGAGGTTCGATCGTAGGCATACCAATCGATCATTATCGAATCGTGACAATATTGACAAATTGACAGAACGTGCCTTCAGTTTTTGTTTAACTTGCTTTGTAATCCATTTCATTTCTATTCCTACCTCAGCCCTGACTTTGCAGTTCGTTAGTTTCATCGTTTCACGCATTATACCCGCCTTTCGCGCCTGTTCTTACTCACATCATTTTCACCTCCAACACATTTCTCTTTGCTGAAACTCTCAATTTTTTAGGCGTATATATCCAGTAACACGCGCACCAAGATCTCTCTTCGTCCTCTCTCTTACTTACATTCTCTCACGTTTTCTACCAGTATTTCGCCTAACGCATATTCATATGTTCTCCGAACCCTCCCAAACTTTTGTTCAAAGCCCTGCTTCAACCTTTCATCATTGTTTCTTCGCTACCCACTTCCCGTTGGTTTTCGCGACACTGTCGAAAATTTCGGCGAGTATCCCGAACACTCCACGCCCGCTTCTCTTTCTTCATTTTATTTTTATCAGTTCGTTAAGATTAAGTTCGCTAAGCATCCCCTAACCGTTGATTAAATGCTCATCGCGACGAGAGATTTACTCCCTGTCTCGGTACGGTGAATCACTCGTTTCCTGTTCTCACCCCTCCGTTCCATTCTCCCTTGCACATACGCTCCCCCTCCCTCTCTCTCTCTCTCTCTCTCGCTCTCTCATTTGATCCGTTCCGTTTCGCGAAAATTCTCCTGGATCTCCAGCGCAGGCAATCCTCTTCCGCGCTCACCTGTCCTGCGCGATTCCCTCATCCCTTTTTCCCATCCCCACACGCTCGCTCCTGTTTCTCCCCTTCTCAAGCCGTTTCGTCGGTTTAAAACCGCTCTCGTATGCTCACCCACCTCTCGAGGATCGTCCTTGCCCGGGCTCTCGTCGCCTCCTCTCTCCCACCCCCTCGCCTTCGCAATCTCTCGCCCCCGGGGGCCAGAGAGACGTTTTTTTGTTCGTGGCAGCTTTACGTGGCTCAACAACGACCGAGGAAAGGACCGCAGTTTTCGTCTGAAGGAGTATCGCCACGCGGCAATTGCGCGAACGCAACGTCGGCACCGTGAAACCTACGCTTTTACCATCCACCCTTTCGTTCCCTCTCGCCAGCCCTATCGTACCCCCTTTTTCTGGCTAACCCGTTACGCTCCGGTTCCTCGTCAGCCTTCAAGTTTCCCTTCAGCGAGTGGAATTCGAATTTTCGAAATGCCCTGAGATAAGGTCAGTTCGTTCAGGTCACCGGACGAGTAGAGTCAAATGCACCGGGACGTCAGGACCGTTTCCTCCCTCGGAAAGAGTCCCCGGAAACGGCTCTGCTCGCGGCTACTCTGGTGACGGGATTAAATACATACATATGTAGAGAGTTTATTAGCGATCATCTGCCGCGACGATCTCGCTCGTCAATAGAAATCTACTTGATTTCGCTATGAGAAATCACTGATCGCGTCCGACGCTAGAACTTGGGAAACTTTCGGCTGCGAGGAATCGGTGACTCGGTTTTTAACTTGCTACGAACGATCCTCGAGTTACAAATCGTTTACAAATAAATCTACGCGTGATAACTTCTGTGGTTGGGTGGAACAGGAGACGACTCACTCACATTCTCCTCTCTCTCTCTCTCTCTCTCTCTCTCTCTCCCCATCTCTATCTCTCCGTTTCTTACGAAATGTCTTTTGTTGTTTTTTGTCTGTTTCATCGTTTTCGTTTTGTTACTTTTTTTTGGTATTTTGTTTTCTCTGAAAAAGAAAAGCCACCTCGTAATAATAACACGTTTCGACGACGCGCTGTGTTGGGTTATTAAAATGGTTCTGTTGACCGTTTTCCATGTTCTCCTTTCATCGTCGTTACTCGCCTTGAACTTTTCCACGACGGACTTCGTCGTTTTCGATTTTTCTCGTTTTCATTTTTTTTTTTTTTGTCGTTAAATAGTAATCATCTAAACAATGAAAGCGGCAAAACGTCTCGAGGAAAAAGGTGTCCCTGAGCGCGACGGAGGGAGACGACGACGACACAATGCTTCTTTGGGAGGGAGAAAAAAGACCGCTCGTCGCCCTTCGTCGTCTTCGTCCCTTTCACGCCCACGATTATTTTTTTTTTTAGTCGCACCTGCGCAGGACTGCGTGACACGTCCAGGTTACGGTGAAAAGGATTAACTATAATATGCTCGATGATACCGGTTTCGGAAGGTTCTACTGATTCGCTCCTTTTAACTTTTTACTTATTTTTCTTCCGCCCGTTCGTTCGTTCGTTCTTCTTGTTTCGCTTCTAATTTCATTTCGGTTCTTTCATTTAACTTTGCTCAGTTTTGTTTTCTTTTTGGCTGCTCGAAGAAAGAGTACGTTAAGACGAGATAGTCCGGACGGACCGAGTCCGTCCTGCGCAGGTATTCGTAAAAAGAGGGACGCTCTTCTCAAAAAGTTGCATCATTTGTGAAATCGCATCAACTAAGTTCCTATGTTCTTTAAATTCTTATTACAAGTACGGTAGTAATAGTAGTAGTAGTAGCAGTAGTAGTAGTAGTAATAGTAGTAGTAGTATTATTAATAGTAGGTTTTCTTCACTTTTTTTTATTCGTTTTTATGTTTAAGCATTTTTTTATCGTTTAGTTTTTCTGGTTCTGATAATCTAATAGACATCTAAAAATAACACCCATTTTTTCATTATTATTTCATATTTGTATTTTTCCTCCTTATCTTCGTCCATCATCTTTTTTTTTGTTTTTACTTTTAGTTTATCGATCAAGTATTACTTAAAGATTCCTTAAACGTTAGACTGAGGGCCGCGTGATACGCACAGTGAGCTCAAGCGTTTCGCGATCGATTTCGCTGTGTTCGAGGGGAAAATAAATGAAGAAACAAAACGTCTGATCTCTCGGTGGTTTCCGTTCCAGAGCCGCGTCGTATAAATCGATTCTATTCGAACGAATCGCGTGTTCGTCTTCGGAATTGGAAAAGGCGCGTTTCATTCTCAATTAAACGCATAAAACTCGACGGTAGTTTAGAACGAATGACGAACGTTTATTTTTTTTTTCTTATTCTCACCCGGCGCGACACCGAGAGACGATCGAGTGATCGAAAACTTCGTGACACCCTTGAGCTCGGAACGAACCGCAGCTTTTGCGTACCATCGTTTGAATTATACACCTTACATATATTTCTAGCGGCTGGAGTAACAAGTTTTTTTGTTATTTTTCTCGTCCGTTTTGTCAGCTCAATACTGGATTCAATTCATATTGCTGCTGTTATGATCTGTGCCCACACCGTCGTTCGCGATAAATCATTCACGCTAATTAACGCTAACGTCCAATCCCTCCCCGAAGCTTTGTCTCTGTCTCTTTTATTTCCTCCCCTTCAATCCCTCCTCACACACGTGCCTGAGACTTTCCCAGATTTTTATGCGTCGGTGCATCGATCTTTCCCGTTTACGCCCTCTCGCCTTCTTGATTCACCCTCCCTGCCAGCCCTCCCCCTCCCCAACCCCCCCCCCCACGCGTTTCTCTGCTTCCCCGAATTTTCTTCTCTCCGTGTTAATTTTAATATCACATTTTCATGGGAACAGACTGGCCCGATATATCTCTAAAACGTAAACCAGTGGTCATTGATTGATTCAACCAATTGCACAATTTTCACTTCTGCTTTTTATCCGCTGCGAGGCGTTCGACGTTTATTTAAAATAACTAAAAACTACAAAATATACACGCATATATATATATATAATAATAATAATTTCGACCATCGTGAGTTTTCGAAGGCTCCGAAGTACGAATTCATAGTACGAAACGTTTCACGTCAATTTTGATTGACTCGGTATTAAAAGACGGGGAATACAGTTGAATAAAAAATAGCGAGGGTGGTTTGGAAACACGCGAGCGCCACGTTGAGTTATCAAAAAATCAGCATTGACGAATACAAACGTCAGCCGGTGTCCAATTTGAGTTCTTTTTTTTTTTTTCCTCGATGTTTCATCGATCCTTGATGGACGAAAACAAATTGCAATACATCGGGCGAGTGTGTCCCTGTTTAATATATAGAATACATACATCTTTATCTTGCTACAAGGTACTACGAACCCAGATTAAAAAACGATAAGATCCATCGTTTTTCTTTTATTATTATTATTTATTTCTTTTTGTGTGTGTGTGTTTTTTTTAAAGAGATGTTTTTACGGCACGTACAACGACTGGATGGCAACGACGAAACGAAAGCAAAAGTTCGCGAACGCGTGAAAAGACCGTTAAAGAGAAAAAACGAATATACATATATAGAAATAAGGAAATAATAAAGAAAGAACAGAAAAAGAGAAAATAAAACATAAAATAGGAATTATGACTTTCGCGAAGGTGCGTTCATCAACGATCTACACGTTCAAGAGACACACACATTCATCGTTAATAATCACTTAATGAAACTTCTTACTTGTAAAATGTTAATTATTTGTTTTTTTTCGTTTTTGTTTGTTATCCCTCCCGCCGACCTCCCTCAAATAGGTCTCCCTTTTGTTGCTTTGCAGACGTTTGTGTAATTTTCTTTATGCTTTTTTTCTCCTTTCTTTGCGTGTAGTTTTTTTTTTTGGTTGACTTTTTGCATTATCTTTTTGCTCCGTGGTGGTTCTTGGTGGTTCCCTCGTTCTACTCCCGCCCAAGCCCCGTGTCACCTTCTCCTCCCTTTTCATTTCTTTCGCTGAATATTCGTTTTCATATCGTCCGCCAGAAAAAAAGAAACATCCGTAACTCGTCGCTCGTGAATTATCGTTCTCTATCTCTGTCGAAAATCAACGGCGTGTAGTCGTCTCTCTCCTTATCCTTTATCTTCTTCGCCTATCGACTTTGGCAAACGACAGTCAACACGAAATTGCAATTCCCGGTTAAAAATAGAATAAAGAAGCTCGAATAATTGCGAACGGATGCTGGACGATAAATCAATCGGTTACGTTTCTCCATTGCCGCTAAAGCGATGTCGCGATCCGTGATAGCACGGGCATCGGCGAAGCAGTGTTCGATCAGATGAATACACGCTTTGAAGAAAAGTAAAGAAAAAAAAAAGAAATTAGCCAATAGAGACCGCGATAGATGTTCGTGAAAAGTGTTTAGCATAACGGACAGTGTACGTTTCCAGAGAGAAAGAGAGAGAGATGGAGAGATAGAGAGATCGAATAAATAGAATAAATTACGTTAAAAGATCACGTATCGGCGATGGTTTGCCCGTTTTTCGCCGCCAATCGATCTGGGGTGGCGCGTGCACAAGCGGAAAACGAAAAGAAGGGCAGGGTCCGCCGCGAAGGAGGCGTTCTTGAGAGCTTTCCCCCGACGGAAAACGATCAGCATCGAGACTCCGCTCGATCGCCTGAACTTTTTGAAAGGACAGACGAGGGCCTTTTCAACGCGCGATCGTTTCTCCTTCTACTTCTATTTCTTCTTCTTTTTCCACTTCGTCCTCCTCGATTGATCTCGAGTCCCACCCGGTTTATATTTAATGTGTGTACACGGCCGCGGTGGTAAATCTTCTGCATCAACCAATATGATTGCGTTTCAGCTATAGAATATGGTCGATTGTTGATACAACAACGACTGTACGGGAGTATCGTTTACGTTTAATATTAAAAAATTGCGGCTCGCCTCGCTGAAAATATCTCATTCGGCTTGGTCGCAGTTTCTGGTGGGATTCGAGACTCGATTTCGAAACCCCCCCTCCCGGCCCCCTTCTTTCCTCGCGTTTATCCATTCGATTTCCGTTTATTCAACGTACAATACTCGAAAACGTCTCCCCCTTCTCGTGTATTGGCTGTCGTTTGCCTTTTCGCTGATCTCTTATTTTATGCTTTCGTTTCTCAGCTCCGGATGTGATCTTTGTTGTTGCTATCCGAATATCCGTAATGACCTCTTTTTCATGTCGCAATTAAAATGGAGAGTATTACCCGCGAGAAAATTTCGCACTCGTTCTCCGTACACCCCGGTTCCCCTAACCATCCCATCCCGAGATCTTGAGACCCGTAAAAAAGATTAATTTTTTTTTCCCCGTTTTTATTTCCTTACAAACTAACGCCGTTTTAAAACCGTTTTGTTTTTTATTTTGTTTTGTTACTTTTTAATCAGAGATCACTCGTTACTTTTGGTAATCAGTCTATCTGGTCTGCGTAAACCTAGCCAGAAAACTCGACTCGAATAACTCCGCCGCCTCGCTTCCTCGACCCAGGAAATGGGATCGATCTCCTGTCAGTCCGTTACTGAAAAACCTCGAAGGGAACGAACGACGCTTTGACAATTTTTTCAACCGAAACGTGAATCGTTCCTCGCCCCTTGTTCAACCATTAGAAAACAGTTCCTTCGAACGAACATAGTATAATTTCCCGATTGCACCAATTAAGGCCGCTCGAACGATCGTTTCCAAGATCCGAAATCCGAAACGGTGGAATAGAAGTCATTGACCGTAACCCGTTAGCTTTTCCCCGGAGAAGTTCTACTCGAGCCGCAAAGTGGAAACTCCGAGTTCCTAACCAGGCAGTCGATCTCTGTCCCCCGAAGCGATCGTGTTGTGTAACAGGCTTCCCATCGATCGATCCCCCTTCCCGGATCTCTTTGGACCCTTGTACGACCTTATTTTCTTCCGAAACGTTCCCCGCCGCGACATTTACCCCTAATTAGCTTCACCCTTCTCGCCGCGCGCCGTTCCTCTTTCGCGCACGCCAGAAGCACTGCTGCTACCCGGTCTCGTGCTCGCGTACTCCGCGTACGTTTACACGCCTCTCGTCTTGTTCTCACTCCCGCCTACCCTCCCCGCCTATTTGTATCGTTTTCGCTGACACTAAGAAACGCCGATTTCTCGAAGGAAACAACGCGCGATCATCGCGCAACAACAACAGGTGTTCCTCGGTCCGAGCCTCGAACAAGCAACGAGGGACTTACAGGAATTTGTACTCTTTGAATGCGTGTGTTGTTACAACGAAACGATGCTCTTAAAACGTTCACTTATCACGTACTAAAGATTAACACGAGCCGCCCTCACCGTTAAAGGCGGCTCACCTCCCTTAATTATACGATCTTACGTAACGACGTGTTACGCGCTTTTTTAAACTCATTTTTTCGTTTTTTTTTTCTTTTTTTGGTTTATTTTAATGCTTTTTTGTGAGGATCCTTTGTCTGTGTGTGTGTATGTATATGTGCTCGACCGTGTGTCTGTATATGTGTACGAAATACACATGTTCTCACTTCAGAAGAGTATGTGTACGCTCTCGTTCCTCGATTTTCCCTCCCGTCCCCCACATCCTCTTTCGTTTCCGTGCGGTTTTTTCTCTCGCCCCCACCCTGGTCTCTAGTACGAGTGTACGCGTCGAAAGATGAAAGTTCTTACGGTTTCGTTAATTAACCATACCCGGTTCCCACAGAAATCTGTCGACAGGCCTACGTCGAGCTTGTTCGCAATTAACTTCCATTGTTCCCATACTTCCAGTTTTCGCCCGCACTCTTTCACCCTAGATTTTGCTAACTCGATATACATTCTACCAGAGCGATCGCTGTTTCTTCGTCCTCTTCTCTCTTCATCCCCAACTTGCTGCTTCACGTTCAGCCAATTCTTCCCGTTCAACTATTTTTATTTTCCCGCGATCATGTGGGTCGCAACGTTACGTGGGAAATGAAGGCTCCTCTGGCACGAGGTATGCGCTGAAGGCGTCCCGCGGATGAACGACATCTCGATCGTCGTACGGCGATCGAGAATAGTCGTGAAAACGTCACTCCTCGTTCGTACCTTCTTTTATGCATGTTTCTTCTCCGTTCATGCGAACATGGCGCATTCGCCCTTTGTTTTCGAGGGAAATGCAAATTGAATTCCATTCGGCGAGGACACCTTCGGGCCTTCACGATGCGTGAACAAAGAAGCGTGCACCTCTTTTCGTCGAAAGCGAAAATAAAGTTGAAAAATTAAATCTCGCCCGTCCCGAACGATGTTCCTCTGCGCGTTCGGTGAAGCGGACAGCGGCGGCGACGAAACGATGCTTTGACTCTTTTTTTCTTCCACTCGTCCCGTTCTTTTGAAAAGATAGAGCGGCGAATATTCTCGGTACTCCCGTCGCTTGGTATTTTATTCCCTCTTCATCCAACCGACGAAGCGCGTGTTCGATTCTCAAGATCTCGGGGGCGATCATCGTGATCGAAGAGGTCGACAAAGGTCTCGGGGATGGTGGGTGGAAGCTATGCTCCGCTCGGTGTTTCGCGCGCCGGCACGCGCTTATTGCTAGGATTTTCCACGAACTTCGTTGAGCACCGATCGATCAAGGCTACGAAAACGGTGATTCGTTCCAACCTCGCGACGTCTGATCAATCGTCGTTCTCCATATCGGGATCCCCGGTGATCACGCCGATCGATTCGATCTTCTCGTAAGGATCGATCCCCAAGAAAAACCGTACGCTGGATGGTCGACAGTTTTCCCTCCATGATGGTCTCGCGCCGAGAAAGAAACGCTCGGAATTCGCTTTTCGTTTCTCCATCTTACTCTCTTCCTTTCTCTCCCTCTCTTTCTCTCCCGCTTTCACTCGATAAATTTAGTCTCACTTAAAAATGTTATTTACAATACTTGATCGACAATTTACACGCGACACTCCGCTCGGTTATTCCTCTTCGCTCGTTTCTCGCGCTTCTTTCTCGTTCTCGCGTCATTCATCAGGGTAGCGTTTCCTCTTCTTACGTGTTTCCAGGAACAAGGATGGTTCCATTATTCTCGGTTCGCGGTCAAGTTTTAATCGATCTCCGAAGCATCACATACATTTATCAGTCGTTAACGATTCTCCAGCGATTCGGGTTATTCGAAGTCGTTTCTCTTGCCTCCTCTTCGTCTTCTCTCATCTTAGAGCGACCACCCACGTCAGACAAGGTGCTCGTACACGCGCGTACATACCGCGTTGGCACCCCCTCGAAACGGGCGTCGCGGCGCGCGTCCCGCGACCCACGGGTGAAAGGGTGCGCCAAGGGGTGATGCGTGGCTGCGTGTACGCTTACCGATAGCTCGCACGCCGTCAATCTTCGCGCTCCTCTTCCATGTTTCTTTCTTCCCTCGTTCGCCCAACCCCCTCGCTCGATGTCTCCTCGCCCTCTCCGTCCTCCGCTTTCTCTCTTCTTCCGCGTCCTCAAATGCTCTCCCTCCACGTTCTCCCGCCGCCACCGTGCCACCTCTTTGTCTGCAAATAGCCCAGAGGTACGGACGTGAGAATTTATTTGTCGACGATCCGTGTTGCTTTTTTACGTCTCCCTCTTTTTTCCACCGTTTCATCGCCCGCGCCCTCGCCCCGATGTTGCTACGTTCGGGGCGAGGCCGTATTCGTGAAGGAAAAAAAGAGGGAGAGATTTACGTCCTACAGTTTTCGTTAAATAACGGGATGTTTTAAAAATCCTTCGTGCAGTTCGAGAACAGTAGCTAAATTACCGTACGGATTTTTATGTCCCGGCGAAGATAGCTCCGCTCACGAAAAAGCAAATAACCGTGGAAGATAAGGAGACTCGCCTAGGAAAGGAACACAAATTGCAGCTGCACCTCGTGAAAACTGTCGGGAGTCCTACATTTTTCGACACGATTCTCGCTCTCCGAACGGCTGCATTATATTATTCCTCGGATTTTTAACGGCTTTTCAGAACGCCGTCCGCCGCAACGCAACGGTATGAAAATAAAATTTGCAATCTCGCTGAAGCCACGAGTTTCGTCAGTAATAAACCCGGGTCCCGGGTTTTTTAAACTTTCCATAGCGGCAGGCATTGTGCGTCTCGAAAACGAAATATACGCTTCCCCGGGGAACGGTTTAAGGAACACAGCGATATTTTTTTATTACACCGCGAATGGGTCCTTTTATTTTCACACGCCCGGCGCGCGTTACACTCTGTGTATTACAGTGGAAACTTTTCCTCCCTCACTCCCCGCTCCTTCGTTCGCTAGTTTGTTGCACGATAATTACGAATGAGCTTTGGAAAAACTACGCTGGCTACCTTATTCCCTTCGGGACAGTTAATCTACTCCACTGTCTGGTTTTGAGCATCCTTTTTTTTTTTTTCTTCATTACGCGTGTACAATTATCTTGGCCTCGGTTTTCGCGAAAAGACTTTTTTTCCGTTAAGAACCGTGTAAGTTAATGCTTAATGAATAGCCAGGTCGGCCCAGAAAAAGTAACGTTACGCGCGTTAGCTTAATTAAACTTCCCCCGAACCGTAGGGCCCTGCGAGCGAAACGTAAAATATTTTACTAGCCTGTTAACCGGCTAATGGTAATCATTAAAACGGTGAACAGAGTAATTCGGATGTAAACGTAATGATTCTGTGCAATGTGAAAAAGCGTCGTAGCCGCTTTGCCCTGGTTATTATCCGAATGTTCAATGCGCAAAGGGCGATGAGTGGGAGGAGAGTTTAAAAATAGTTTTTCCATGCCGAACATTCGCGTTTACGAGGTCCGGCTTGTAAACGCATTTACAAAATGGCTCCTATTCAGAAGGTGCCGTTAAGGATGCTCTTTCAACTGGAGCTCTTAACGCTATTAAATTTAGAACGTGACTTTAACGCTTCGTTGTTGAATCAGAAGGAGAAGAAAAAGGTCCGACTGTTTGGCTACCGTCGCGTTGTTACCAGCCGCGTTCTGAATATAATTAGTGTTACAAAAAACGCGGGATGAAAGGGCATTTAAGTCTACGACGGCGTATTTTGAATACGGGCTTCGAAAACCTGCTAGAAAAACTTTTGTGCAGCTTGCAATATCTGGAGGAATCGTGGAGCGAAACGAATGGAACGAGCGACGGGTGGCAGAAAGGATTTTCTCCTGTTAAAAAAAAAATCGAATGCCAATGCTTAAAATTCATTTTCCAACGCGGACGTTGCTTGTTAGTTCCGTGTTCCTCCTACGTGACTTTTTGTTCAGCCTTTTCGAGAATTTTTGATTAAACGCGTATTTCTCTACACTACCCGGCTCTTATCGATCCCGTATGTACGGGCGAATTTTTAATTAAAAAAATATCAATCTACTGCGTAAAATGGGAAACAGGAATCAAATTGCAAGCAACAATTTCATTTTTGGATTCGAATTGCTCTGAGGGACATCGAGCACGACGGTATATCAATTAACCGAGATTTTCCGTATGAGTCAATAACAAATTAGTCGCGTTAATATAGTTTCCAATGATGTTAAGCGATGGCTTTCGTTTTGCTCTATTGAACGATTTCAATGAATCCATATTATCCAGATTACCTACCTAAAGATTGTCCATCATTTCGGAGAGGGTCAGCCTGGAGGTGGACATTGCGACACCACTGTCGCTGCTGCTTTGCACGCTACTGTGATCATCGGTATCCGACTGGTTGCTCGTATAGCCGATCACATCTACTTCATCTGCAATCATAAAAACAGAAGGGACACATAAGTACGTTCCATTTGGTATAAATCGTTATTGCATTAAAACAATTGGGCAATTTCCTCGAGAAAAAAAAATGATATTCCATACGTTCCCCCCTAATATTACTTGTTTACTATATAGCTATCGTTTTCACGTCAGGACAGTCTCGATGTTACAAATTTTAGAAATAATACATCTGACACAATGTTATATCCTTGCGAGTTTGAACGAGTTATTTGGAAATCGCCGGAGGAGCGAACTATCAAACAGGAGACAGGAACCCCGTCGGATAACTCGCGTCATACGCGGTTATACACGGCGCGGAACGGGGGCTCGTTAGATAATTTAAAAAACGCAGGTGCACGGGACGCGTCGGTAGTAAATTGTAGATCCAATCGGACAGCTGTGGCTCGTAAATATAAGCGGCGTGGCAACAATCCCCGCGATTCAGGGGCGCGTTTGCGAATTCCGTCGGAATCGATACACAGACGTTTTCGAAATACGCGTCGCGGACCGCCTAGCTCTCTCGGTACACGTGCCGTACTACTACCTACACCGGCCGCCGGCCGGTCGGCGCGGTAAAGCTTTTCCTGCACGTGTACCCTGTCCAATAATCCCGTTCCTGGAATGCCAGCCAATTTTCGTATTTTACCATTTCATGAAAGCGCGTTCTCATCGGATATGCACGCGCGCTTCCACCACTATCGCGCCCTTCACCCTCCCGTGTCCTCGCGAAATTCGTTGATTCTCGCGTAATCCTCGCCCGGTTGTATAAGCTGGCTACCGTCGACGTAATTGGTGAAAAATACGCGCTCTCGGGGGTTATTGAGAGTAGCGCTCGATAATTTTCTTCGATTCCGTAGCTGAACCGGACGCACTTACAATTAGCGCGGTTGTTTAATTAAAACGATACCGGGGCAAGACTGTTAGCGATACGAGCGTCGGTTTTAAGGTTCCGGATGGAAAGCAAGAGACTCTGGACGGCCGGAGATACTGAAGTTAGAACGAGAAACCTAATTGGAGGATTTCGATTGGATTACTCTTTCATCTCGTTTTCTTTTCCAGCCTTGGAATATGTATCCCCTAAACAAGAAACTAAATGCTACGAATTTCGTGATTTGACTCTCGACTCATTACTAATTGTAAGTTCAAATCAAAGTGTGTAGAGATGGCTTTTGGCTTTTACACAGGATTACCTTCTAGTCGCAATTCCGTGTATCTCGCTTTTTCAACAAATAATTCGCAACATCTCGACGTATCTTCCATGGATATCGATTCGATGAGACGTTGCTACTGTATAGTTTATTTGATTGAAGTGTATTAAACAAAGTAATGGAATCAGCAGTTCGACGAAGGGTAGGTCGGTCCCGGAAGCCAGGAAAGTTCACTTAAAAAACTGTCACGACCGGGAGGTATAAAGAACTTCTCTACTGGGGATGATCAATTTATTCCCGAATCACCTTACAACGTTATCCGAAAATATCTTGGGCAATATCCATAAAGCTTCGGTCTCGCTCGCGAGGGGAGCTTATTTTCCCGTCGAAGGGAGAGGGCGGGGATCAAGGAATAATGGCTCGGCGACTGGAAGACAGCCCGGCAGCAGCCCAGCGGCAGCATTGTTCCCCCGAAAAATCCGTCGACCCTTTATCACGCGTCTCCTTGACCTGTAGCAACAACTTTCCTCCTCGGTCGTTGGACGTTGCAGGGAGCGGCGCGTGGGATTTTATGAATCGTAACTCGCAACGAAGTTCTCGTTAAACTAGTTTCACGCCGATCGAGCGACCCCTCGACCTTTCCCTGGCGCAGCCTTGCATCGAGAACGATTTTTACCCCACCGTTTTCTTTGACTCCATTTAACAGTCCACTATATATGCAGTTTTACAGAATAATAATCCTGCAAATTTCGTAATTTAGAAGCTTTCCGTCTAGGAAGAAGAGAACCTTCGAGCTTCATTAACTGCTGCTTGATAATAATTTTTTTATGCCTTCATCGTCCAGGTTTATCGTGGCAGCACATTATGATAATTCCCTTAATTATGCTAACGACGAAAGCACCTATCCGAGGGTAGTATTTGTAAATATCAGCAGCGAAACGGTTTCATTAAACGACGGTTTACAACCTATCTCGAGCTGTAATAACTCTTTTACGGCTACGAGAATTTGACATTACGTACCTCGGTTAGCCAGACGCTAGCGCGATTTGCCCGATGACATAATAATTAACAGTATCGCCTTATTACTTCGCCAGCGGAGAAGGGTTACGCTCGCGCATAATTACGTATTAATAGAAACACACGGACGCGTTACAACGCCGACGTAGCTCGAGGGCGGAAGGGCCGTGTGTCACGAAGTCTCTATAATTGCGCCTAAGGCGTCTCGCGATATCACTCGCGCCCGCTCGCTCGCTCGCTCGCTTGGAAATAGTCGATATTGAACTTGGCGATCAGTGTCACGATGAAACGGCCCTTAAGGCGGTAGACGTCACCGTCGAACGTATACCAGTCGAGCGCTCTCGTGGCTCTCTCCATAAAATATAACCATCGTCGACACCCACGCAACGCGCACACGCACACGTACGTCTAGACCGTACGTTCGTGGTAGTACATATGTAAATACACACGCGGATGGCACGGAAGGACGGGGGGAGAGAAAATAAAAAGCGATTGAAAGGGACAAGAATGGTGGAGTGCAAGCGTACCCGGCGTAAAGAAAGAAGGCTACAACAGCCTTGCGAACGTGTATTACGTACGTGGAAAAGTTTGATTGTGTCAGAAACGGCAAGAACGATTTTAAAGAAGGTCTATGCAATTTGCAAGCAGTATAAACCAGTGACGATAATCATAAAAAGTAAATGGTCATGCAGGAACTAGTTTTGCGACGAAATTACACTTTTGAAAGCAAAAGAGAGGCGATCGGAAACTTTCCGCCGATATGCAGAGTACGACCGAAGAACAAGCAAAGTTAAAGAAACGAACAAATTAAACAGCGGACAACGTGAGGACACGACCGAGGGAAATTACTGAAACTGAAGGACGAGGAATGGGATATAAAAAATTTAAAGAACGTATCGAACGGGCGCGTTGCTGCAATGAAAACGCGCCGTATGTCGGAGAGATGAAAAACAGATAAAACTCGATGAGAAAATGGTTCGCGGTAGGAAAATAGCGGTTGAAAAAATAGAGTGAAGGTGGAAAGACGACCGCGGTTAGCTACGCCCATGCGTGTATTCGCGAAAGTACACTCCCGCCCACGAGTTATCCGATAATTCTCAACTTTCAACCGAAGTATATTACGGCCACATCTCAATTCGTAATTGACGTTCAAATTCTCTGAATTTCAGTCGATTTCGAAACCGAGAAACTCGAGGACATGTCGTTTTAATTTTAATGCGTTGAACTGTTTATTTTGTAATTAAATTGGAAGACTAACGCTGGAGCAGAAGGAGTTTTCTTCGATTGTTCACTGTGAAATCCCGTTTTTGATTTAGAGATACATATTTCTTCGATTATACATTTTTTAACCAGCTGACTCGGTAATGGTAGCGCGGGTACGTCCATTGTCGCATTCTGGCCGCGGATCGTATAAATTATCAGAAAGATTTTATCACCGGGGCAGACAGGGAGGCAGGCTTTAGGGGCGATAGCGGTGCTGCGGAGAGAAATAAGAGTATATTTCGCCACGGCTGTTTCGCCTCCTTAGCGTAACGTATAGCCGCGAGCACAATGCCGGCTGCTACCAATAAGAAGTGTTTTGTCGACGAAACAAGCTGCCGTTCTTACACGTGGTATAACGCACACTCGCACCCGCGCTTCGTTCGCCTTTCTCCCGGTTTCCCCGGATCGTTAGGTCCCGCGGGAGAGCGAGAGACTACCAATCATATTTCTCGCGGAGCAGTTTGTCAGTTTCCTAAAGGCAACCTGGAAAATTTGTCGCTGTCCCGGGATGTGTATAGTACACGCGAAACGAGAGATCGCCAAATGAACCCTTCCAGTTCACGCTCTCTGTTTCAAATAATTTAGCATATTGAAAACGTGAGAAACCGTATTTCATTTCTGCCGATACTTCATACGACCAATGAAATTTATGCTCGTAACATATTTTTTTTTTGTCAACATATCGAAAATTTTTAATAAAAAATAGTGCACTTTTCTTCTAATTTCGATATTTAATGAGTTACATATGATTATATGGCATTTTATTGATGTTGACAAAATCCGACCATTCCACCGTCGAATCAGCGAACTTTTCGCAACAAATTTCGTTTTTCCTCAATAACTCCTAAACCCTTGGAGATACGGGAAAATTGCAAACGATCTTTCTTGTAGAGGACGACGAGATCTA